TCCTGGACTGTTTTAAGGGCCTCTTGCGGCCCTCTTGGCCCTCCGTGAGGCCCCCTCGCTCCGAAAAAGTCGCGCGACAAGACGCGAGAAGCCCCGAGAAATTCCTCAGGAGTGAGGAGTGAGGCTCAGATGATTAGGCAAAGGACCTGAAGACACGCCCACTCCGTGCCCAAGGGCATCTACATGTACATGTGTGCATGTATATATCTATGTATGTACGGATGCATGCATGCGTGCGTGTACACGTAGCACCCCGCAATTGCGGATAAGAGTGACGGGGCGGGCGCGGGCGACGCGGGCGTCGAGCCGGCGGACCTCGTGGCCCTCACCTTCCTTGTCGATGGCGGCCTCCTCGTCCTCCTCCTCCTCCTCCTCTTCCTGCTCCTTCTCCTCTTCCTCGTCCGCGTCCTCTTCCTCGTCGTCGTCGTCGTCGTCGTCGTCGTCGTCGTCGTCGTCGTCCGCCTCCGCCGTTCTTGGCTTGTTCAGTGAACGTAGTTTGGGTCGCGGGTGAGTCGAGGGCTCTCCACCTCCACCTGGAAGGAATTCAGAAACAGCCCGCCGCAGACGCCGAAAATTTTAATTTGTACACTGAACGCGATTTGGGTCGCAGGTTTTCCACCTGGAACGACCGCAAAAAAAACCCGCCGCAGGCGCCGAAGTTTTGGCTTGTTCAGTGAACGTAGCTTGGGTCGCGGATGGGTCGCGGGCTCTCCACCTCCACCTGGAAGGAATTCAAAAACAGCCCGCCGCAGGCGCCGAAAATTTTCATTTGTACACTGAACGCGGTTTGGGTCGCGGGTGGGTCGCAGGTTCTCCACCTGGAACGAATGCAAAAGGAGCCTGCCGCAGGCGCCGAAAAAATTTGGGTGTCGCGGGTGGGTCGCGGTGGGTCGCGGGTGGGTCGCGGGTGGGTCGCGGGGGGGTCGCGGGGTGGGTCGCGCGGGTGGGTCGCCGGCGGGTCGCGGGGGGGTCGCCGGGGGGGTCGCGGGGTGGGTCGCGGGCGGGTCGCGGGGTGGGTCGCGGGTGGATCGCGGGCGGGTCGCGGGTGGGTTGCGGGGTGGGTCGCGGGTGGGTCGCGGGGGGGGCCGCGGGTGGGCCGCGGGGTGGGTCGCGGGTGGGTCGCGGGTGGGTCGCGGGGTGGGTCGTGGGTGGGTCGCGGGGCGGGTCGCGGGTGGGACGACGACAACACAACAAACAGCAACAACAACAACAAGAATCCGCCTCGCGGAATTCCACTTCAGCCACGCACCCAGGGACAGTGAATGACCGTTCGGTTCAGCCCCCTCACTCTGATATGGATGGATGGATGGATGGACGGACGGATGTGTGTCTGCACGTATGCATACGTGTGTATGTATGCATGCATGCATGCATGTATGCATGCATGCATGTATGTATGTATGTCTGTATGTTTGCATGCACGCATGTATGTTTGTATGTATGTATTTATCTATGTATGCATGCATGCATGTAATGTATGTAAGTATGTATGCATGCATGCATGCATGCATGCATACATGTACGAATGCATACATGCATGCATGCGTGCATGTATATATGGATGGATGGATGGATGGATGGATGGATGGATGGATGGATGGATGGATGGATGGATGGATGTGTGTCTGTATGTATGCATACGTGTGTATGTATGCCTGTACGCACGCACGCATGTGTATATGTATGCATGTACGTATGCATTCATGCATGCGTTCATGTATGTATGTATGCATGCATGTATGCATGCATGTACGTATGGATGTACGTACGTATGCATGTATATATGGATGGATGGATGGATGGATGGAGAGATGGATGGATGGATGGATGGATGGATGGATGGATGGAATGGATGGATGGATGTGTGTCTGTATGTTTGCATACGTGTGTGTATGCATGCATGCATGTATGTATGCATGTATGCATGCATGCATGCATGTATACATGTATGTGTGTATGTATGTATGTATGCATGTATGTATGTATTTATGTATGTGTGTGTATGTATGTGTGTATGTATGTATGTATGTATGTATGCATGTGTGTGTATGTATGTATGTATGTATGCATGCATGCATGTATGTATGTATGTATGTATGTATGTGGATATATATATATGTGTGTATGTATGTATGTATGTATGTATGTATGTATGTATGTATTTATGTATGTATGCGTTTACGAATGTATGTATGTACGTATGCATGCATGCATGCGTGCATGGAAGGATGGGTGTGTGTCTGTATGCATGCATACGTGTGTATGTATGCATGCATGCATGTATGTATGTATTCATGCATGCATGCATGCATGTATGTATGTATGTATGTACATGTGCATGCATGCATGCGTGCATGTATATATGGATGGATGGACGGATGGATGGATGGATGGATGTGTGTCTGTATCTAGGCATATGTGTGTATGTATTTATGTATATATGTATCATGCATGTAGTTCTGTCTGTCTGTCTGTCTGCCTGTCTGTGTGTATGTATGTATGTATGTATGTATGTATGTATGTATGTATGTATGTATGTATGTATGTCTGCATGTATGTATGTACGTATGTTTCTGTGGTCGGTTGGACGGGGGGGGGTGGAATCGGACCCCTCCCCCCCCCCCTCCCCTACTTTTCCTCTCCCTTTCCTCGGGCCGGCGCCTGCGTCGGCGGCGGCTGGCGGCGGCGGCGGGGGCGACGACTTCCTTTTCTGGGCCGGCGCTGGCGACTGCGGCGGCGGGCGGCGGCGGCGGAGAGCGTCGACGAGGACGACGGCGACGACGATGACGACGACGACGCTCCGCCACCGTGCCTTGGTTTTGGGTCAGAGTCCTACTGGATGCCTCTTGGGGTCTTGTCGGAGGGCTCTCGGGCCGGGGGCCTCTGAAGAGCATTTATGAAGCCTCCTGGGCACCTCTTGGGCGTCTCTTGGGGCCTCTCTGAGGTGGTGGTGGTGGTGGTGGTGGTGGTGGGCTGTGGTGGTGGTGGTGGTGGTGGTTGTAGCGGTGGTGGTGGTAGTGGCGGTGGGTGGTGGTGGTGGTGATGTTGTGGTGGTTGGTGGTGGTGGCGGTGGTGGTTGTTGTGGTGGTTTTGGTGGCAGGTTTTGATGGTGGCGGTGGCGGTGGTGGTGGTGGCGCGGTGGTTTCTGGTGGTAGCGGTGATGGTAGTTGTGGTGGTGGGTAAAGGTGGTGGTGGCGGTGATGGTGTGGTGGTTTGTCGTGTTGGTTGTGGTGGTGGTGGTTGTGGAGGTGGCGGTGGGTTGTGGTGGTGGTGGTGGTGGTGGTGGTGGCGGTGGTGGTGGCTGTGGTGGTTGTGGTGGTGGTTTGTGGTGGTGGTGGTGGTGGTTGTGGTGGTGGATGGTGATGGTGGTGGTCTCGGTGGTGGTGGTGGTGTGGTGGTTTGTGGTGGTGGTGGTGGTGGGTTGTGGTTTGGTGGTGGTGGCGGTGGTTGTGGTTGTGGTGGCGTTGGTGTGGTGTTTTGTTGTGGTGGTATTGTTTGTGGTGGTTGTTTGCGGTGGTGGTGGTGGGTTGTTGTGGTGGTGGTGGTTTGTGGTGGTGGTGGTGGTGGTTGTGGTTTGGTGGTTTGTGGTGGTGTTGGTGGCGGTGGTGGTGGTGGCGGTGGTTTGTGGAGGTGGTGCTGGTGGTGGCGGTGGTGGTGGTGGTGGTGTGGTGATGTGTGGTGGTTGTGGAGGTGGTTGTTTGTGGTGGTGGTGGTGGTGGTGGATGTGGCGGTGGTGGCGTGGTGGTGCGGTAGATTGTGGTGGTGGGTTGTGGTTTGGTGGTGGTGGCGGTGGTTGTGGTTGTGGTGGCGTTGGTGTGGTGTTTTGTTGTGGTGGTATTGTTTGTGGTGGTTGTTTGTGGTGGTGGTGGTGGGTTGTTGTGGTGGTGGTGGTTTGTGGTGGTGGTGGTGGTGGTTGTGGTTTGGTGGTTTGTGGTGGTGTTGGTGGCGGTGGTGGTGGTGGCGGTGGTTTGTGGAGGTGGTGCTGGTGGTGGCGGTGGTGGTGGTGGTGGTGTGGTGATGTGTGGTGGTTGTGGAGGTGGTTGTTTGTGGTGGTGGTGGTGGATGTGGCGGTGGTGGCGTGGTGGTGCGGTAGATTGTGGTGGTGGTGGTGGGCTGTTGTGGTGGTGGTGTTGGTGGTGAGTTGTGGTGGTGGTGGCTGAGGTGGTGGTGGTGGTGGTTGTGTGGTGGTTTGGTGGTGGTGGTGGTGGTGGTTTGAGGTGGTGGTTTGAGGTGGTGGTTTGAGGTGGTGGTGGTAATGGTATTCTTGGTGGCGGTGGCTGTGGTGGTGGAGTGGTGGTTTGTGGTGGTGGTGGTGCTAATGGTAGCGGTGCTGGTGGTGGTGGTGGTGGTGGGTGGTGGGTGGTGGTGGTGGTGGTAGTGGTGGTGGTTGTGGTGGTGGTGGTGTGGTGGTTTGTGGTGGTGGTGGGTCGTGGTGATGGTTGTGGTGGTGACGGTGGTGGTGATGGTGCTGGTAATGGTGTGGTGGTTTTTGGTGGTGGTGGTGGTTGTGGTGGGTTGTGGTGGGTTGTGGTGGTCCTGGTGGTGGTGGCGTTTTTGGTGGTGGTTGTGTAGTGGTTTGTGGTGATGGTGGTGGTTGTGGTGGTGGTGGGTTGTGATGGTTGTGGTGGTGGTGCTGGTGATTGTGGTGGTGGTGGTGTTGTGGTTTGTGGTGGTGGTGGTGGTGGTGGGGGTGTGGCCTTCGGCTTTTCCCGCCACTGTGTTTTGGCGTTGGGTCAGAGTTCTAATGGATGCCTCTTGAGGTCTCGTCAGAAGGACCTCGGGGGCGTCTGAGGGGCATGTGTGAAACCTCGTGGACCTTCCTAAGGGCCTCTCGGTGGCTTCTGGGGGGCGAGGCTCGATATGGCGATTTGTGTGTTCCCTCTGCGGCCTCTGGGCCCTCTCTGGTAATCGTCGCTGCGTCCCCGCCGTCCGCGCTGCTGGCCGCCGCCAGCGCTGGCGCCAGCGCCGGCGGGGGGGGGGAGGGTTGGACCCACCCCCCCTGGGCTGCCTCTGGTCATCGTCGCTGCGTCCCCGCCGTCGGCGCTGTTTGCGGCCGCCGGGGTGGAAGTTTAGATCCCCCCCTCTTTTGGGAGGTGGGGAGGGGTCGGGAGGGGGGGGGTTAGGGGGGAGGGGAGTCCCCTTGGTTCTGATCGACGGCGCCGAGTGTTGGAGGGGCCCCACCCCCGGTTCGAAACGCGCCGCCGAATGTTCCCAAGGCAGCGCCCGTGAAACGCGCTCTCTCGTATGTATGCATGCATGTATGTATGCATGTATGCATGTATGCATGCATATGTGTATGCATGTACGTCTACATGTTTGCGTGCAAGTTGGTATGTATGCATACATGTATGCATGCATGTATGTATGTATGTATGTATATATGTATGTATGTATGTATGTATGTATGTATGTATGTATGTATGCATGTATGTATGTATTGACGTACGCATGCGTGTATGTAGGTAGGTATGTGGATGATCATGTATGTTTGTATGTGTAAATGAATGTATGTATATTTGTATGCATGTATGTATGCGTGTATTTATGTATGTGTGTATGTATGCAAGTGTGTATGTATGTCAGTGAATGTGCATGTATGAATGTATGTATGTATGTGTGCAAATATGCATGTATACATGCATGTATGTATGCATGCATGCATGTATGTGTGTTTGTATGTATGTGTGTATGTGTGTAAATATGTGTGTGCATGTATGTATGTTTATATGTGTATACGTATGTATGTATGCATGCATGCATGTATGCATGTGTGTTTGTGTGTATGTATGGATGGATGGATGTCTATATGTACGTTTTATATATATATATACACATGAGTGCATTGGCGCTTCACGCCATGCACCTTGGTCCGTGAAGTTTAGCATCCAGGCGGAACTGCAGGAAGGTCGGACAGACAATTTAGCGATAACCCTTTATTCCAGGCTCGCCCTACCCTTCGAATTCTCCCCTATCCTCCTCAGCTCTTTTTTTCGGAGGATTCTCCTTGGAGAGGCCTCATTACAGGATTGCAGAGGAGTTTCTCAGAATATGTCTTGAATAAGGAATTCCATAAACGCCTCCTGAACCATGTGCCGTCTCTGGGGGCATCCTGGGGGCCTCTTGGGCCGTCTTGGAGCGTCGGGAAGCCGAAAATGCGAGAAAGCCAGCAATTTTCAAAAACCTAGGAAATCAATCATTGGCTCCTACTGGGGCTCTTTTGGGAGGCCTCTTGGAGACCTCTTGGGGCGCCTGAGAGGCCTGTTGGGCCGTCTGGTGGCCATCTTGATCATTTTGGAGCGATCGTTCGGCGACTCGCGGCCCTCTTGGACCGTCTTCGGGGCCTCTTGGGGCCCTCTTGGCCCGTCTTGGCGCCCTCGTGGGCCCGAATAATTTATGTGACAAGATGCGCGGGAGCCCAGGGGGCACGCGGGAAGCTCCGCCAAAGTTCGAAATTTGGGCCCTGGGCCTCGCAAGGACTCCTCGGGGCTGAGGATTGAGGCTCCAGGGTTTAGGCAAAGAACCTGAGGACACGCCCACTCCGTGCCCAGAGGCACGGTGGCGGATTTTTCCAGCCGCTCGGTCATCGACCCCCCAGGCGCGTAGATTTCTGGAATGGCTTGTTAATAGCCTATAAATGAAGCGTCCTTCAATCGTTCCTGGGCAGGGATTCAACGAGCACGCCAGGGGCAGTAGTCCATACTTGTTCTGCACGGTCCATCCTCGATCTCAAATCGTATCATTCCAGTCGACCTGTTATCGACCCCCCTCTTCTCTGTCACATAGTACGGTGCGCGCACTTTACGTAGATGATCTCAAGGGATTGCTGATGTTGAAGACCCCTTTTGCAAGCATGGCGCAAAGCCCACGCGCGCGCACATGTCGAACTCATACAGAAATCAGAGGGTCTGCAACCATTCCAACACACACAGACATCATAGAACCATCGGGCTTTCATGACAAAGATGTAAGTTTTCCTTCCCGCGCTCATTTCAGACATCATTCGAAAACCGTACGATTGTAGCATTCTCGCACAGAACCTGCATTCTCACTTCACCATCGGCGCATCCACGTTGATCCAGCATGCGTCCAGTGCCCGAATCCGTACCAAATAACACCATGCGGGCCACATGCGCGTGCCGCCACGCGCGCTTGTCGATATCCTTCCAACACCCTTGGTTTTTGAAGCATGTCAAGATTGAGCCCCCCAAAAATATGCAAGCAATAACGTGTTTTTTCTTGAAGTTCTGCGCGCGCGCACTTCTTCACCATCGCCCTCATCAGTGCCATTGCATCATCGCCGTTGTCGTCATCGTGAACCGCCGCAATTGTCGCCATTGTCTGTCAAACGTCTTCGTCACTGACACGTGGACATCTTCATCCTCTTCGTCGTCACCAGCATCGGCGCCGTCATTGGCCTTGCCGACGTCGTCGTCTTGATGGCCACCACCATCATCTTTGCCGCCATGGCCGACGCCATCATGATACCGTGCCCGCTCGGGTCACCGACCCGCAGTGAAGTGCCTCCGCGCCAGCGCGGCCTCTAAGACCCGCTGGGAATTTCCCATCAGTAAGCGCCATCGAGGCCGCAGCCGCTGTGCCAAAATAGTTGGTCGGTGTGCGCGCGAGCGTGCGCGGGCCTGCACTTTCGTAGAGATTCGGTAGCAAATGCCAAGCAATAGCCGCAATCGTGGCCGCATGAGATTTGCCGAACAAGTTGCTTGTGGGAAGGTGGGATGTTTGCACGAGCAGTGGATTTGACGTTTTCAAGTTTTGCTAAGTGGGTTGCGCCACATTCGTCGCACCACATATACTGCATCGCACAGATCATACACGGATTGACTTACACATTCTGCACATAGAGAGTGCAACAACCCATTGTTTGATGTCAGCATTGGCAAACATGCTTCAAGAACAACTGACGCTGGTCACGATCTTGCCTTGATTTAGCACTTGAGTAGAATTGTCCATCTTGTTTGAACAGAAATGTGTATGTTTTCCTCTACATCCTCCCTATCTGGTTTTGCAAGCGACAAGCGTTGGGCGACATTCTCGAACCCATAACACCCCTCACTGCTATCCGCACCCGGGCGTTGGGCATGTGAGTTCAGGCTTGCATGAGTGATTTTGTGTTAGCGCCCCAAACCTGCGGTCATCATGGAGCCTCTTGGAGGCTTTTTGGGGCACTGCTCGAAACCAGCGACCATGAAACGAGAAGTGTTACATCAAGTTTGCGTTCAGGGTGAGCTGCATGTTACAGATACGCATCAGAAACAGCGAAGGTGAGACCACGAAAACTTCGAGGAACCCCTTCCCAAAGCCCACGTCGGGGCCCTCCCAGAGGCATCCAGAAACATGCGGGGGCCATCTAGGGCCAATTCAAGCTATCACGCGCCCTGCTGGAGGCCATCTTGGGTTATCTGAGACAAGCTTGGAGTCGTCTAGGGTCATCTTCTACGCTTTGACGACCCGCGACTCCCTGGGGAGGGCTAGACCAGGCCGCCAGACCACCCACGCCCATGGGACTGCATGGAACTGGTTGCCTCGCACGTCCTCTGACGCGGCCCGGCGAGCGACTCGGCAGCCGGCCCATTGGAGGGGCAGGCTCCACCTCACGCGGGGGAGCAGCTGCGGGAGGGGCCACGAGATGTCACGGGGCAGGGGTGCGGGCATCTGAAGCCCATGACAGAGGCAGCTGGCCCTTCGATTGCCGTCCAAGGGGCTGAGGGACAAGTACGCCACGGAAGCCGACCTGGAGGAGTACATATTGGGAGTGTACCAAAAGAAGTGGGATGCACTCTGTGGTAAGGCGGCAAAGTGTCCCAGAGTTTACTTTGACATCAAGATCGGCGACGAGAATGCTGGACGGATCGCAATGATGCTCCGGGGAGACGTCGTGCCTAAGACAGCCGAAAATTTCCGGCAGTTGTGCACTCATGAGAAGGAATTTGGTTTCAAGGGCTGTACGTTCCACCGCGTCATCCCAGGCTTCATGTGCCAGGGCGGAGATTTCACCAACCATGACGGCACTGGTGGCAAGTCCATTTACGGGGAAACTTTCGCCGATGAGAATTTCCAACTCGAGCACACTGGCGAAGGAGTCCTCTCTATGGCCAACGCTGGCCCTAACACTAATGGCTCGCAGTTCTTCTTGTGCACAGCTAAAACCTCTCACCTGGACGGCAAGCATGTCGTCTTCGGCAAGGTTGTCGGAGACGGCATGGCTGTGGTGAAGAAGATCGAGGCCGTCGGATCGGGCGGTGGCGAGACATCTAAGAAGGTCGTGATCGAAGATTGCGGTGAGCTCTCTTTGGGAGACTGGCCGTGACTTGTCCAAGGCCGCTGTGCAGCCTTGCTGCTCTGACGTTCCACGTACAGATCTGACGTCAGATCGAGACAGCATAGGCCGTAGACCAGCATAGACGCGCTCTGGCGCGCAGGCGTCGTGGCATGCGGCATGTTCAAACACCATCATCGTTATCATCATCTCTGCCCATGCGGCAGCCGGCAAGAACAGCAGGGCAGCAGCGAATTGTTGCAGTTGTGACCTGGATTATTGGCTCCGTAGTACACATTGCGACAAGACTCGCATGGTGCATCTTTTCTCGTCTCCCACAGATATCGAAAGGCCCTTCCTGTCTGACACTGCCGCGTTCCGTGCGAAGCGCCGTGCTAGTGATGAATGTTTTAGCGTTCAAACAGAGGCATGGTCGAAGTTTCTTGAGTTAATCCAGTGACGTATTCCCTGTCCACGGGTCACGCACGCAGTCCAAATACAGGCGTCTGATTGATTGCTCGATGATGAGTACAATTTGTCCGTGTTAACGAGGTGGAGCTAGGATCCCATTGAAAACCGCTATTACTGAGCAACTGAGATCCATGACATGCGCGACCGCGTTGGCAAGCGGGTGCATTCGGTAAGCGGGTGCAGCATGCTTTGGTATCAGGTCCAGTTGTCGCATGTAGCTGTAGGTTCCTCCATAGGTCGTGCGACTTTGGTGAGACATGGTACATCGGTTTCCGCCTTCCACATCGTCTGGCTTCTTTTGTTTGGCAAGGCAGTATTTCGTCGCGTAGCGTTGTGTTGGACGATGATGGTGTTGGTGCGTTCCTTGCGCTCGCCAATGGTATTACTTAACAGGTCAGATGCGACTCGTGCGCGCGCAGGGGTATATACTGCTAAACCTGTTGCGGCAGTTACAATTTCCCTTTTTTGTGACCCATGCATCAGTCTAGCAGATGCCTCTATACGCAAACGATAATTTGAGGGAGTTTCTGTGGAACTCACGTCATCCTCACCCCCGGCGCGAAGAGCACGAGTCCAGAGCGGCCTCCGGCACCGTTTCCGGACAGATCCGGTGGATCCGCTGGATCCGCTGGATCCGGTGACGAATCCCAAACCGGCGCCCTCGCTTGAGACATCCTCACAAAACCGGCCCCGGGGGAGGTGCCCAGAGGAGCCCAGAGCGGCCTCCGGCACCGTTTCCGGACAGATCCGGTGGATCCGCTGGATCCGCTGGACGAATCCCAAACCGGCGCCCTCGCTTGAGACATCCTCACAAAACCGGCCCCGGGGGAGGTGCCCAGAGGAGCCCAGAGCGGCCTCCGGCACCGTTTCCGGACAGATCCGGTGGATCCGCTGGATCCGCTGGATCCGGTGACGAATCCCAAACCGGCGCCCTCGCTTGAGACATCCTCACAAAACCGGCCCCGGGGGAGGTGCCCAGAGGAGCCCAGAGCGGCCTCCGGCACCGTTTCCGGACAGATCCGGTGGATCCGCTGGATCCGCTGGATCCGGTGACGAATCCCAAACCGGCGCCCTCGCTTGAGACATCCTCACAAAACCGGCCCCGGGGGAGGTGCCCAGAGGAGCCCAGAGCGGCCTCCGGCACCGTTTCCGGACAGATCCGGTGGATCCGCTGGATCGCTGGATCCGGTGACGAATCCCAAACCGGCGCCCTCGCTTGAGACATCCTCACAAAACCGGCCCCGGGGGAGGTGCCCAGAGGTGGATAGGGTCACGGGCATGTCGGGGATCAGATTAAGAATGATGAAAATGGTTTTCTCATGGTTCTAGGCCGCTTGCGGGCCGTGCGGTGCTGAAGTTGAAAATGGTTCATGGTGGTTTTGAAAATGGCCGCGCGCGGGTTTCAAATAGTTTCGGCGTCAAACTAGCAGCTTGGCGCGCCCGCCATTGGAAGGTATGATTACGCGCAACGCGGCCTTCGCTCAGGGGTGCCAGGGCAAATGGCGCTTGATCCTCCTTCCCACTCTGCCCTGCAGTAGGCGGTACGAGCCAAGGGCGTTTGAGCCTTCTCCGTGCCCCTTCACATGCAGCCCGAGCTCGGCCTTTAAGCGCGCGGGTGTCTTTTGTTGGGCTAGTTGGAACTAGAGGTTGCGTCTCGAACCGAAAGAGCCAACATGTTTTGCCCCACCAATCACCGTTGTTACTGCACGCTGCTGGGGCCGCCGCCTACGAAGGCATCCCCAGGTTCGCGCCGAGTCCGTCACATGTGAAACGTGCTGCGTTTGCAGGCTGGCCCGCGCCGAGTCCGCGGCATGTGAAGGGCTTGACAACTCGGCGCCGCGCCGAGCAAGCTATCGTGCCCCCCCTACCCTCCTTATCGGCAGAAGCACGGCCGCGTGCAAAAGGGCACTTGTTTAAGTTGTTGTAGTTTTTCAAGTTTGTGCCTGGCAGCTCCGCGAAAGTACTGCAGCACGCGCCTGTGCAGTCCATCGTTGTGTGTGTTGGGTAATTCGTTATTTCCCCTCCCCGCTCTGCGGTCGCCGCCCTGGGCGGCCGAATGACGAGAAACTTTGCTCAAACTTGCGCCGCAGGATGTGGAGTGAGAAGATATGGTACGATGCGGGATCGATTACACATGTCTGCGGTAACTGCATATGCAACAAGGGGACGATTTGGGGAGACTCGTGGCCCGTCAAAAGGGGAGGACCATGAGCAAGAGCAACTGCAACAGGCGTGCGTCTAGGCGCGCGTGGCCCTGGCACTGCGTCAAAGAAAAACCGTGGTGACTATAATGATTATGGACGACCGGGGGGGGCAGCTGCTTTGGCATTGGCGGTGCGCGCCGCAGGCATCTGGATATCTGGACAAACCGCGGTTGCAGCTGCAGGAAGTTCTTCCTGCCCTCGCACTTCCGCTCGTTCGCCAGCGAGACCTCCGTGCTTGTTTTGCGTGCTCGGTCGCGCCCGTGTTTCATGTTGCCCACAGCCACCTGGCACTCCATCTGAGAAATGGCCCCGGCCATGTGTCTCTGGAAAACTGTGCATGGGTCCTTGTTGGTGAACAGCCCTGGGATCGAGGCGTGCACCAACTCCAAACCTCGCTTTTCGCACTCCGCGATCGCCTCTTCCTGCACCATCAAGCGGCGGGCCAACCGCTTCTCGTCGGGCACCACGATCCGCTTGATGCCGCACTTCTCGCACCTGTCCAGGAAGGCGGCCACGCCCGGCCTGGACAGGAACGGCGTTGAACCTGGGGAAGCAAAAAACATGATGGACCCACGAACCCGGAAAGGGATATAGACATGTGGAGCATGGGCACGTTTTCACGATACCCAACGGGGCAACACCTCACGAAACATCCCACGAGACACCCCGCGAAACATCCCACGATACACCCCACGAAACATTCCACGAGACACCTCACGAAACATTCCACGACGCACCCCGTGAAACATTCCACGAGACACCCCACGAACAGGCAACCACTCAACCAGACACCCCATGAAACATTCCACGGGGGTGCGACTGGGTGTGGTCGTGCTGGGGTGTGGTCGTGCTGGGGTGTGGTCGTGCAGGGGTGTGGTCGTGCTGGGGTGTGGTCGTGCTGGGGAGTGTGTGGTGCTGGGGGGTGGTCGTGCTGGGGGGGTGGTCGTGCTGGGGGGTGGTCGTGCTGGGGCGTGGTCGTTCTGGGGCGTGGGTCGTGCTGGGGCGTGGTCGTGCTGGGGTGTTGTGCGTCGCTGGGGGTCGTGCTGGGGTGGGTCGTGCGGGGTGTGGTCGTGCTGGGGTGTGGTGTGCTGGGGTGTGGTCGTGCTGGGGTGTGGTCGTGCTGGGGTGGGGTCGTGCTGGGGGGTGGTCGTGCTGGGGTGTGGTCGTGCTAGGGTGGGGTCGTGCTGGGGTGGGGTCGTGCTAGGGTGGGGTCGTGCTGGGGTGTGGTCGTGCTGGGGTGCGGTCGTGCTGGGGCGTGGTCGTGCTGGGGTGGAGTCGTGCTGGGGTGTGGTGGTGCTGGGGTGTGGTCGTGCTGGGGTGGTCGCACCCTGTGATTTATCGATCGGGTCGTGCTGGGGTGTGTGATCGTGCTGGGGTGTGGTCGTGCTGGGGTGTGGTCGTGTTGGGGTGTGGTGGTGCTGGGGTGTGGTCGTGCTGGGGCGTGGTCGTGCTGGGGCGTGGTCGTGCTGGGGTGTGGTCGTGCTGGGGTGTGGTCGTGCTGAGGTGGCCCGCACCCTGTGATTTATCGATCGGGATTTCAAAAACAAGCGTTTCGCTCGAGACATCCTCAAACATAATATCGCCGGCCTCCTTCGACCTCGATATTTATCAGGGAAGAATTTCGCCGGCCTCCTTCAAGTTGGGCACGGGGGACTATGTTTACATGCTAAAAGAGAACCCTGGGCCTTTGCCCTTTCCGGGAAAAATCGACGACAAATTCGGCGCACGATTTTGCAGTACTTCGCCGCGGGGGCGGTGGAAACATGAAGGCGGGGGGGGGGGCGCTTGCTGTAGCAATTGCGTTGCGTAGCGTCTGGCGCGCTAACAAATCCAGGGTTTCGTGCCGATGGGCGATGTTACCTTCGGAAGAGGACGCGACGCGCCGCATTCCTCATCCAATGCCCTTGCGGTGTGTGGGGGCGTTGTGGCCCCGCCGTCCTGGGGCGTTCTTCAAGACGAGCGTTTCCTGGGCGGTGGGGGCCGGGGGGGCGCCCCTGGCCGCCTTCGTTATCTGTGCCTTCTGCCGCGGCACGCTGGCGCCATCCACGTTCGTCATCGTCGACGCGCGTGTCGTGGCAGCCGCCTTCATCTTGGCAGGCATGGCGCGGGCGCCAGAAAACGAAACAAACATATGTTGCGCGGTGCCCGAACGCCGCAGGCGCGGCAGATAGGAGAGGGAAGGAGGAGCAGGAGCAGGAGCAGGAACAGGAGGAATACAATTAGGCGGTGGATGGGGATGCGGGGGAAGGGGGGAATGGGGCGAAAAGGGGGGCGAGGAGGAAAACTGGGGGAGGGGGCAGTGAGGAGGAAGGAGGACGCGCGAGGGGGGGCGCGGCCCCCGCCGAGGCTTGAAAACGCTAGAGGGCGGCAGGGGCAACGCCGGCGACGGCGCCGACGAGGGTTGGGGCGGAGACAGAAGGGCGCGCCGGAAGTCGGTCCTGGACCGACTTCCGACGCGGGCCCGCGCCAGAAGTCAGTCCTGGACCGACTTCCGACGCGGGCCCGCGTCGGAAGTGGGCCCAGGACCGACTTCCGACGCGGGCCCGCGCCAGAAGTCCGTCCTGGACCGACTTCTGGCGCAGCCCGGCGGCCGGCGCCAGAAGTTGGCCGACGGTCCGTGGGGGCCGTTCGAAGGGGGGGCTCTTGCGCTGGCAGGAGCAAGCGGCAGGTCGGCGGCAGTCGGCGGGAGTAGGCGGGGCCCACCGGCTGAGGGCCCGCCAGAGCTGGCGGAGAGGCGGACGCTCTTGGCAACAGACGTTGGCGGGAGGTCGGCGGCAGCCGGCGGAAGTACGTGCAGCCTGCGGCCGACGGCCCGCAGGAGGCCGCGGAAGTACGTGCAGCCTACGGGCGACGGCCCAGGGGAGGTTCGTGTCGCCCGACAGAAGGAACAAATAGACTGCGGCGGACTGACAGCGGGGGCCGGCGGGGATCCCTGGGAGGCCCGCGGCAACCGGAGGAAGTAAGCGTGGACCACCCAACTGTAGCCATTCGTTGCTTTTTCGGGGCTCAAGCAGCGCGGGGGCAGCTTTTTCTGGACACGCTATCATGGAC